TTCTACTACTGGAGCATACCAGACAAAGAGGAAACTTAGAAATGAAATGAAACACTCGAGACACGTTCAATCTTCTCAATATTAGTCTCCCCAAAATGGATTGTACAGAGTGGAGCTAGATTAAAAAAGCACATGATCAAAAGTCTGGACAGCTTAATAGTTTTCCTGAAAGGAAATTTCACTGTTACTTAGGACAAAACATAGAGAATTCTCAAAAATGTGTGGAAAATCACTTGGCACACTTGATACAATATTAATCATCCACCTTTCTGAATTACAATCACCACTGCTTTCCTCTACTGAAGCAGCCACTGAAATGAAGGCACCACACTTCAGGGGCCACTTTAAGACAACAATGACAGTAAGTAAATAAAACTTTCAATTATGTAACCTTGGAATCAAGCAGCTATACTTTTTCTTCCAAGTAAATAAAAATTTCATTTTAAAATAAAAAAAAAAAACCCTTGATGCTAGCTAGACTAGTTTTTATTTTAAATAATCATTTACCAGTAAACATTTCCCTTTGAATTACAATCAAGACACATCTAGAGAGTTCTTAAAAAAAATTCTAATTTTAAAGATATCGTAGTACAAGAATGATGATATAATTACTGCAAAAATATGTAATTTATTCTTGTAACCCTCAGGATACAAAGAAAGTAACTGTTATTGAAAAATTACTGAAAAATTAGCACTGTATTCATAATTAAGATTTAGTCAAGGCTAAGATACATAATCCCAGAATTAATCATAAACACTGTGATATCATTAGCATAAGACTAAATTTTAGGTCTAAGGCACTGGAAATCGTAACAGAGATGACAATATACACCTACACCAAATACACACCGTGATGACTAATTTCAAACAAAAGCAGCCACTTTAAGAAATAAAAGTTGTTCTGTAAATCAATACTACCTAATATAGAATAATAATGATTAAAAAAAATGAGCTCTCAAATGAAATTTAGGACCACAAAACTGAATCAAGGAACTGTAAGGGTTATTCCTAAAACTATGTTCTTACACTGCTCTTTGAGATCATATTTCACTTACCTTAAAAATAAAGTTAGAATTAAAATTAATACCATATTTTGTTACTGAGGATTCTTTATGGAATGAAAAACAGATCTGGGTAGACTGATTTGCAAAGGGCAGACTCACCACACTCACTGTGTTTCTAAAGTATGCACAAAAGCTGATGACCGAAAGGAAGCAGAACACTTAACTACGCATTTACAAGTTCAGTACCTTATTAAGAAAAATGCTATTTTATTTTCTCTAACACCAACTATATATTCAAGGCTTAAGAGAGTGGAAGTGAAAGAGGGGAAAGACACACTTATGTTACACCAAAGACTATCATCACTCTAAGTGAAGAAAATACACTTCCCATTTTTTTAGGATACTGCTTAGCAGTCTCTCTTCATAGGAGAAATACTTCCTAGGACTTCACTAGGACACTATATATAGAAAGAAAAGAGAAATGGCATTAAAAGCTTTAAAAAAAACCCAATTTTTAGTTCATAGGCCCTTGGGAATCCACTAATCCAATTTCCCCCTCACTTCTCCAGTGAGGAAACAGTTCTCCAGAGACAAGGTGACTTGCTCAAGGTCACAACAGCATACCAACAGGACCAGAATTCAGGTTTTATAAATTCTTGGATATTGTCCTTTCCTCTACACTAGCTGCTAGGGAGATGATACTGAGCATAAAAGCAAAGTAACATGGATTAAACGCAAACACAGTTTAAAAGAAGGCTGCCAGAGCCGTGCATATTAACTATAAGCTGAGTGTGAGGCCCGTGAGGATAATTGTGGGGTAATTCAAGGACTGAATATCATGCGCAGACTAAAGTAATGATAGCTAATACTTCCATAGTAATTAATAGGTGTTCAGCATTATCTCATGACCATTTTATATGTTAACTTATTTATTCTATTTTTGAGGTAGATACTCATCTCATTTGCAAGTGAGGAAAGAAGGCACAAAGAAGTTAGGAACTGGTAAGGTCTGGAGACTAGAGGAGATTCCAAGAGAAAAAGGAGAAAGTTGATTTATGTACCTATTTTACATTCATGTGTCGAAGTATTTAAAAGTTGATGATTATAAATAATTTTAAAGGTAAGATATTTTAGATGTTTCTTATTTTTTGTTCCTTTTCCTTATCAGATTCTTCTAGTGAAAATTAATGGTTTTCAAAACAATTTAGCAGTTAATTTAAAGGCATTTTTAATAAAAGCCTGTGATGTATTTCAGAAAAAATTCATTACAAGCTCCATGAAATAACAAGGAATAATGATATTTCAGCAAGTCTCCTCAAACAGAAGTAGCATTGCAACTTAAATCAAGTTTGAAGGTGACATAGTTTCTATAAGAAAAGGAATAAACCCTCTGCTAAGACAAGAAACAATTATTGCAGATCAAGAGTTAAACTTAAACTCAACTTCCAATACTAGGAACACAATTTATCTGTTTCAGGAGTACACCCTGAATTTCAAAATTCAGTCAGCTGACATTAATTCTGCAACAGGAATGAATGGATGAATGGATAGATGGAGGGATGGGTTGATGAATGAACGGACCACCATATATTTTCAAACCTCCAGAATATAATGATGACATATGGTTCTCCCAGATTTTAGGAACTACTTTAGTAACTTACCATCTTTTTCCTCTTATCCTGTTCTGTGGGTGGCTCTTCATCTTCTGTTACTTTTGGTTCTTCAATATGAGACATTAACATACAGCTATAGTTTAAAAAAAAGTTTTAAATAAATAAAAAATGTCTATAACATAAAACAAACCCTCAAAATACTGAGAACAATAATACATCTATGTACCAAAATGTGAGGAACAGCAAGATAAACTGGACTTATAATCTTAAAAATGTAATTATAAAAAGATATCTCACTTCAAAAAGGACCACACCAAAAATATTTGGAGCATTTTACTTGAGTATTTAGGGAATAAGTTGTAAGAAATTTATTTATAGGCCACTTTTGAACCATAAAGTACTTGACAAGGCAAGGTATATACAAAGAATGATACTTGCAAACACTTAAAATTAATACTTTGTCTTTTACCACAAATCTTCATATATCTAGATTATTATACATGTTTCATAACAGTGGCAATAACTTAAACAATAACATCATTAAAACACTATTAATTATGGAAAAATCTACTTTGTTCTCCAAATGACATTACTATGCTATAAGGAAGCTGTCCGTGATAGCACTTGTACCTGCAGGACAGTTATAACTCATTTTATTCTGATTATCTGCATCATTGCTCTTCACCGTTAGCAGAGATAATATAAATACAGTTTTCTATTCAGTCAACACTGGTTCCAGGGAGACAAGTTATGAATATTGTCTAGTGAATCAAGTTGATGGAACGAACTTCACTGCTCCTAACTTAAAACAGAATTCAGTGATTTATCAGAGTCATAGGTTCCCAACCAATAAACTGTGGCAAAGAAAGCTTGGTTTCTCTTACGTTTCGTGGCAAGTACAGGGGAAGGACAATTCCTGACTCAGAGCTGCGTAAATGACTTTTGATTCAGGGCTAAGGATAAGTGCTGACACCAGAAATCTGTTTGGCTCACTCTTGCAGGGGACATGAGTGTCCTATTCTCCTTATCCTCCGCCATTAAAAAAATAAGTTTGGAACAACTGCCTCTGACCCAGTCAGTGCACTGGGTGGGATCAACCAGTAAGAACCTTAACCTGGAAATCAGAAGCCCTGAAAAACAGCAAGAGTTCAACAGCTAATTCACTGCATGGCCTTAATTTCTTGGAGCTGCCATACTTTCGCCCACCAGGATATATAGTTGACTCTTGAACAACATGGGTTTGAATGGCATGCGTCCACTTATACAAGGATTTCTTTCAACAGTAAATACCACAGTACTGCACGATTTGTGGTTGGCTGAGTCTGAGGATGTGGAACCAGAGGAACCATGGTATGGATGGCCAACCATAAAGTAGACTCAGATTTTCGACTTCACAGAGGGTGACTGCTCCTAACCCCCGCATTGTTCAAGGGTCAACTGCAAAATAATGCAGCACAATTAGTTGGCCAAGGAACTCTGGCACAAAATTGGAAAATTATGACTTTGTTATCTCAACCCAAAAGCGATTTAATAAAGTGAAATGTCTAGAAAAAGTCTAGATCCCAGTTTGTACTTTAGAACTGAATGATAAAATGGAGTTCCTTACCACTAGTTACTTTAAGCCTGCTATAGACTTGAATTCTATCTGCACTGAATCTGGATCGCCATGGAAGTATGCTTTCTATTAAATAAAATTGTATTACTGCATTCCAAAATCTGTTAACTTACTTGTATAGTAAAAACTCTCTGTTCCCTCTTCCCTGAGTTAAAAGACTTACTAGCACATTAATAATAAGGTATATTCTGGATATAAATACACACATGCATATATATATATATGGCCCCAGAGAGCAGAATATTTTTAGTTAGCAATTCTGCAAATTGCATTCATTTGGGTCTCTAGAAGATAGAAAAAGGAAAAAAAAAAAAGAATTGAAAAGCCCAAAGCAGAAATTCTCTGCTGCAGGAAAATCTCCAATTAAAAGTCAAATCTCATTTTTTTTTTTGACAAAGGCTAAAGACAGGGAACCATTTTTACATAAAAGGCATGGTGAGAATGAATAGATTTCTAATAAACTAAAATGTGTGGGCTATGAATGTTAATAATAGTAATTATAACAACAATTTAAAATAGGGAAAAATAACAACAGTTTAAAATAGGGAAAACTAACATGTGAACACAGGCAGCCAACTCTCACATCTTACACTCGTCCACTGAAAACATCCAGGCACTCTAGCTGCTAATTTAGAATCTTTCCCAACGAGAAACTCCAAATGTGAAACACAACCAACAGTATTAGCATGCAACATGAAACCTTTTAAATAATTTGTTTTAAAAGTATATTTTTCATTTAATCTGTACAAACCCACATCTTAACATTATAGTAAAATTAGAACTGATATTATTCCATCAGCCTCTGCAGAGGACACTTAAGTTGCCTATGTAATCACCCTCCTTCCTAACAGAATCCTGAATTTGTCTGTTATCCTCCTCTTCCACGCCACCATATACTTCAGAAAAAGCCAATCCCAGTCCCAGTGCCAGTGGCTCAGTAAGCAATCAAGGCAATCCTACTCCCTGGTTGACGACTCCTTTCAACAGAAGCATGTTTAAGAAATTCTAGCCAATTAGACAAGAAGGGAAGTCTGATGAGATGACTTCTAGGAAAGTGTCCTATGATGTTAACAAATTGAAAAAAAAGACATAAGGAAAAAGTAGATTACTTGCCTGGCACTGGCACTGTCCTGAACTGCAATGCCTAGAACTACTTTGTGACGATGAGGGAAGCAGCCTGCATACTAAGTTAACGTGCTGAGGGGCTGGAGCAGAAAGAACCTGGGTCTTTGGAGGTATTGTGAGGTCACAAATAGCTAATTCTCACTCACCTGCAGCTGTTCTGTGGTCAGGGATAATGAATTCTTTATTGTTAAAACCAGTTTACTCACAGTTTCTCTTATTTGCAGGTGAAAATCTCTTTTTACAGTCCCTTATATAGAAATCTTAACAAAATTTCATTTCTGGGCTCAGGCCAAGAAACAGTCTCCCTCTCCTGATACACCTACCTCTTTCTGCTTAAAAACAGGAACTAGGTAATTTCTAA